AGTGATCAAAAAAACAGAGAAAAGCATGGAGATACAAAAAAGAGAAAATAAGAAACAGAAAGAGAGACAGAGAGAAAAAAAATGACAGACAAACAGAGAAAGAGAGAGAAAGACAGAGAGACAGACAAATAGAGAGAAGAAAAAAGGGGAAATAGAGAGAGATAAGAAAGACAAAGAGAGAGAGAGAACAAAGAAAAAGACAGAGAAAGAGTCAGAGAAAGACAGCGCGAGAGAGGGTAAGAGCACAGAAATGAGTTATAGAAATGGAGGGAGCAGCAGTGGAGAATAGGAGCGAGAGAGAGAAAGGTAATTAAAGCGGGGAGGGGAGGGCGCGTGCTGCAGTAAAAATACGTCTCGCTCCACGGAACAGCGTTGACTAAGCATTGCTCCTCCAGTTGCCTTGGAACGCCTCATCTCAGTGGAGGGCTCACAGAGCTCCATATGACCATTCACAAGAGTTCAAGAGTACTCCAATGCTGTCATAATCTCTTAAGGCTTTCTCGATAGCTAGTTGTACTGACCCTACATGTAATGATGTCAAGGAGAGTACAAGATTAAGAGGCAAGCCAGCAAGTGTCACTCCACACTGGGCTCTTAAGACACTAGCCATACAAGAGAATGCAAAGGAATACTAAAGCATTACAGCATTAACATTCAGACACAGCGCCATTGTCCAAAAGAGATACTGCAGCAAGCAGAGTATATACAAACGAATCATTTACTTATCCAAAGGAGATTTTATCTGTGCCTTCATTAAAGATGCCCTGCTGTGTAATTGTGGCCTCGGCCTCATTGAATCTAGCCTCACTAACTTCTAAGCTATTTTATTGCTTAAGCATTTTTAAAAGGTGTATCCCATCAATTCAGGCTCTAACATCACAGCATCACTTATCTCTGAGGCAAGAACAATGTTCAGAGTATAAAGAAATAAAGGCTGTCATTAATGGTACTTGAAGCATTTTCACTGAAAATGACTAAAGCGTCCGCCTCATATTAAGGGTCCTAAGGTCCAATCCCATTTCTTCTTTTTACCCCTACCCCTTGTTTTCAAATGTCACCCTAACCTCTTGGAACTGAGTTACAAGGGGTAGTGGTTGAAATCTTGCCCTACGAAATGGGACAAACCTCAAATTTAAACATGCTTCATTAACAGGCTACTAGCGCTGCTCTGTAGGCGACCCAGCCCGTCTTCAGTGATAGCAGAGAAGGGAAAAGTTTAGTTACATTTAGGGCATCATATCCTTTCAAAGAGGGGGTATAAGACAATTATTTATTATCGCCCACCGCTAATTCATTGGTGATACGAAGCTGAAGTCCGCTATTCACCAGCTTCTCGTTCGAATTTTCCCGTTCCACCTTAAATGGTGCGGCAGTTACATTCTGGCGTCAATACTGCTGGACTATTTTTTATGCCTGTTATGAAGAAAACGATCATAATACATTGAAGTGACACTAAACTAAGATAATACAATGGTTATCGTAATTTCTTTAACTGAGAAAATACTCACTTTTGTGGGTTTCTTTGGTTGCTCACGCAGCCATCTTGCCGGTTTCTGTTTTTCTCTCATAACACTCTGTTTGGAGGGTGCCTCTGAAAAACTTTCGTTTGGAGGGCCATGTAGCCCTAACACTTCGCCCTACCCCTCTATCTCAACAAAAATTGAGACACCCTAACCCTAGACATGAATGCGCAAAACAAAGGGCTAAGGGCTAAGTGGTAAGGGCAAGGGGTGAAATTGGAATGGGCCTTAGTGTCAAAATGTTCACCCCTATATTAAGAGCTGAGTCTATTTATCTTGATTGTTTCGTTAGAGTTATAAACGGGGGATTTTAACACTGTTTTCTATTTCTGGATAATTAAATTGTCCTTTGCTTTATTGTCCCAGGTGGTTGCTAAGGTGTTGCTAGGCCACTGCTGTGATATCCTAGGTGGTTGCTAAGGTGTTGCAAGGCCATTGCTATGGAATCCCAGGTGGTTGCTAAGGTGTTGTTGGGGAGTTGCTAAGGTATCCAATATGGCTGCTAATGAAGAATTACAAAATGAAGAACAGTAAGTTGGCTTTGTCAAAGCAAGTTAATCAATCTGCAATTACATATACAAGACTGAGTTCTTCATTCATTTTGTCTTGAGTAATTAAAAAAGTAATTAAAAGTACTTTGCAAAATGTAGGCTTATATAAATAACTTTCTCTTTTGACAGCAGCATTTCACATTTGCATTACGTGCTGTGTGACAGTTCCTTATGAAGGTAATATGAAAGTGGTAGACTATAAAAAGACTGAGGCAGTGAATAAGTGATTTTTTTCTCACAGGGAACTATTTTCTCCAATATCTGCACAAAAGTGTTGGCACAAGTGAGTCATAAATGCTTGCAACCAACACTAAAACAGAATACATGAAATGTAATAATGTAATAATGGCTTATAAGCCTCTTATAACTGAAGTACAAACTAAAGAATAGTGTTAGCATATACAAATATATCCTCTAAATCTGTTCTTTCTGTGATCTGTACCCATCAGCTGTAGTATCTTACATTCAGACCTAGCTGCATCGCAAGTGTTCATGCATTCACCAACGATCTCACTTTCAAACCTGTTAACAGCCCACTTCGCAGCTTAACTTAAACAAGTTCATGATTAATAGTAAGGCCGCATCTCAAAACACTCCCACTGTAAATGCCAACAAGCCATGAAGCCTTGCTTGAGCTTTTTGGTCCTGATCCAACCTGGCTTACAGTAAGAAAACAATCAAGTGGAAGTGTAGTGTAGGGTGTTTCATGAGTGTTCAACTTCTTTTCCCCTTCCTTAGACAAGCATTCTGCGAGGTAAAGGAGGGCATTTCCCCTCACAGCGATTAACTGTAAATAAGTGTGATTTTTCTCACTGTCTCACTGGAGCAGAATATCAACATGGCTTTTCAATTATCAGCCAGCCCCCAGTGAGGGCCAGATACTGATGAAGAGACTTAGAGAAAGAGAGACAGAGAGAGAGAGAGAGGGAGAAACAGAGAGAGAGAGAACAGTTTGAAACCACAAATATGGCCATCATTTCTCTTGCAACAGAACTGTCAGTGATTTATATCACATGCTGTTATTCACCCATATTAATCGATGACAATCTTTACTTTTTCAAAGAACTCCATACATAGTATATTCTGCATGGAGGACTATTAGGGCTGTGCAGTATATCATTTGTTAACCGTTAATGTGATACTAGCTTTTGTAACACAGAACGCATGGCTGCAACAAGCAAATGAGCCCTCCAAAGATATATGTCTTTTTGTAACAACACAATCTAGCTACATGAATTATTCAACTGATTGTGTAATAAATGCTTAATAAGCCTCATAACTGTGGGAACTAAAGTAAGTCAGGCATATTCAGCATATACATGAACAGAAGAATGTTATTCCAAACTGCATTACAGACCACTTTCAAGAATTTTCTTTGTTTCCATGATATATGTTGTTGGTAGTGGGCTTTGCACATACAAATATCAGTGCTATATTATGAGTAATACCACCATTATTAGAGATTTCTTTTTCCATTATATATTAGCTGTTCTTCAATGATATCAATGTATTATATCCAAAATTCTTACAAATGAATATAAAGCATTTTGAAATGAAAGTCACATACTGTACATCTGTTATTTCTGAGAGCTGCACCCATCAGCTCTAGTCTCTTACATTTAAACCTGGCTCCATCACAACTGTTCATGCCTTCACCAACAATCTCACCTTCAAACCACTCAACAGCCCACTTTTGTAGCTAAACAACATCTTGATGAATCAAGGTATCCACATAATAAAACAAAAAGGAAATTATAGTGCTCAAAATAATGCAGGTCAATCTTAAACCATATCATATTACTAAATTACCAATGCGTTTTTAATGTATTGGATGGTGTATCACAATCACAGTATGTTGAAATTAGCACTGTCATTAAAATCGCATTCGTCTGTGTAGTTAATTGCAATTAATCGCATTTGTCTTATTTGCTCAAATATTTTTTCCATTTAAAAAAGCAGCGCATTTTATAGCTACAGCTAAGAGGGATCAGATTGTTTAAGAAAAACCTGAACACGTGAAGGCAGTGCGAAAATAAAAATAAGGTGAATGCAGTTTAAATCACATGATGATATATCTATCATGTGTACAGTGAATTGTTCTTCGTGATTGTAGCCCTCTCGCTTTTATACCGCTATGTTACATCGTGTTTTGTGTGGGGAATTGTAGCTTTCCACTTTGCTATTGCCTTTGTTAGTTTGCCGTTTGCTGATGTTTCATTTTACTAACATTAAAAATATTACCGTCATTGTTGGCATCAGCAGTGTGTTTTGTTTTTAAATGATAATTCTGGCTCAATGTAACTTGGTGATAAACAAATTCACATAATGACTACAGATGGCTCAAAGTTGACTTGGAAAATGGTTTAACAACGTTAACAAAATTAGTGGCATTACTAATTTATTGAGTTGATGCCACTAGTTGCAGTACAACCATGCAGCCTCTTCAAAAGAGTGAAACATGTTACTGAACCCCTAACTATTTTTCACAGGTTGGCCTCATAAACCAAATCTATACCCATCATTTTACATTCACTGGAGGGCCAGTCCACAACCACAACACACAGAAGCACAAAGCATCAAGGAGACTTGCAATACACACATAAACACACCCGGACACACACTAGAGCTGCAATATGTCAAGACGTTGAGCACTTAAATATATCAATCAGCTTCTCCAGCATTCATAATCTCATACAGATTCATAGACAAGCCCCAGCTATTATAAAGGCTTTAACCAGATTAAATGAATACGCACATGTACACGTGTGTGCGCGTACACATACACGACATCACAGCAGACACGCATTAACATCACTACACTGAGGACTGGACACCATATGGAGAGCGAATCACACACACCCACACACGTATACACACACACACACACACACACACACACACAAAGGCAGAGACAGACGCTTCTACTCACAGAATGAAGCAGACGACACCAGCAGCTAATAGCAAAGGACTGGCGTGGATGCAAGCCGGCTGCGTCCCTTCGGGAATGCTGGCAGATTCCGAGGACGTAGGGGATAAGAGACAAATATCCGAGGATGCCTCCAAATAGAAAAAGGGGGAAGGGTGAAGGAGGCAGGGGGAAATACGCAGGACCTGATCTCACGCCTTCACGAAATCAGAATGTTGGCTTTTGAAGGATTCTCCTCTTTTTCCCCACTCTTCCTCCTTTCTTTCCTACGGAAGGGTAGCACCTTACCCGAACGGAGTCAGATTCCTTGCTTTGACCTCTGATACAACAACAATCCCTCTGGGTTAGAGAGAAGACAAGAAAGAAAAAAAAATCTCTCAAAGAAGCAAAAAATATCCAGCGAAGATAAAATAACTCAATTCCTCCCTTGCACCCCCCGTCTCTCCCTCTCCTTTAGGAACAGAGGGTTGGAGGGAGCGGCAAAGGAGAGGACAGAGGGCAGCCGGCTCGACTATGAAAAAAGCAGGCAGGAAAGAACATTCTGTTTCAGCTGAAAGGAGAAAAGAAAAAAGCCTCTTCTATTTCCTCTCTCTTTTCGTCTCTGTCGCTCTCTCTCGCTGCAATGTGTGATGCTCTCGTTTGCAGTCCATCGGGGCAATCGTGGGGAGCAGGGGGAGGCGGTAGGCGACAAAATATAACAGGAGAGGAAAAATAATTCAAAAGTAGGGGAGTGATAGAACTGTGGCACCTGTTCTCCCTTTTCTCTCTTCTTCCTCTCTCTTGCTTCACCTGAAAGACTTAAGGCACCTACCAAAGTGTCCAGCACTGTTGCTCAAAAGTGCACTGTCTATTCCCTCGCTATCTCAGCCTCTCATTGTAGTGAGGCAGGAAGGTGCCAATCTAAAGGATGAGATGCTAATAAAGCCAAAGGACCTTGCTTCTGTTAAGTTCACTCCACTCTCCTTCTCTTTCTGGTAGTGCTTTCTTACAAAGGATTCGTCATGTCAGTCGTAACTCAAAAGACAAGAAATTGTCTGAATCAGTATGGCCCTCTATATTCCTTCTTGTTTTTTACTTCTGCTCCTTAATGTATGCTTTCCTTGAGGACCTGAAAGCAAAGCAGTTCACACTTTCACAAGTCCTTCAGATCTGATCTTTAACACATTGGAACGTGAAATGTGAATTGTATAATCTCACAGCATATTGGTCGAGAAAAGTCCTCCAACCTCTGGAATTTCATTTTCAACTGCCTTCCAGTTAGGAAGTTCAATTATCTTGCATCGAATGATACAGCCCAGATTCCTCAGAGCAGGTTATGAAATCAAAGGGGTTTTTTGTATGATTGGACAGTGTTTCTCCTCTCGCTCTCCAGGGGCGCCCAATCAAACTCAAAACCACTGATGGTTATTCAGAGTCGAAAGACAATTATTTAGTTCATCTTCAAGGGCTATCATTCCAGGATCTTTTTGCCATCTTTGAACCTTTAACACCGAAATGAATACAGAATTGTCTCCTGTGTCACTGCATTCCAGCAACTGAGCTTTGTTGCAAGCGATGCTGCTGGCAGTAAACTAGTTGCACTCTGGGAACGTCTAGGAAGGTGTGAAGAATGCTGGGAGAACTAGCAGCTAGCAGCCAGAGGAGCTGCGACGATCCAGTGCCAAAGGAATAAGTCTATATAAAGAGAAAGAGAGAGAAAAAGTGTTAAAGAAGTGAAATATGTATGAGTAACAAGTACTAGAAACAATGAGAATATTAAGGTGAAAGACTGCAGCAATTGGACTATCAATGCTCCGCCCCCAGATCCATTATTGTGTGGAAACAGACAAACTTTACACATAATCAAACATAATCCCATTCATTTCAATGATGAAGCACAGTTTTAGTCAAAATATGTTTGTTTTTTTTGCATTGGACCACTGCTTTTGGATTAATGTTGCAACATGGCATTCACTTTCCAGTTTTAAAAAACAATGTTGTTAGCTGCAGTAGCTCATCAAAAGTAGGCAGCTTTTGACAATGACAATGAGATTATATCAAGGAGAAAGACTCCAGCAGTAGACTTATCCATGCTTTCTGTTGTAGCAACAGTTGTCTTGTTGAACTTTACAGAACATTGAAAAAACTCTTTAAACCTTATGAGGAAGCAAAGTTTTAGTCAAAATATGTCCATTATTTTCACTGGACCACTATTTCTGATTTAGAGTCACTCATGTATCAGTTTTAAAAAGCTTGCTGTAAGTTGTAGTAGCTCATCAAAGGTAAGTAGCTTTCTAAAAACAACAATGAATTTACCACCATTGATTACATAACAGAAAAACTACACCTGATGTATCATCCTAACAGTGTGATGTTCCACTCAAAAAATGTGAAATTATTAAAACACACTAAATTTAGGTAGGTTTGGAACAAAACCAAAAGTCATGGTTTCAGTTTGAGTTTTTGCTAATGTTCCGTAAAGCTTGTCTGATCTAGTAACAGTTGCTAAAAAATACCGCATTTGTGAGAGGAGCATGGGTAGGTCTATTAAACATGATACAAACATAATGGAAGGGCACGAGACATAAAGTGAAAAAAGAAAGACATTTTCTGAAATGATAGTGACACCCCCCCTTCATCTCCTCCTCCCTCACATACTATTTTTACACATCCCCAAAGCCTTCTACAGAATACTTCTGCCATCACTCACTGTCTACTGAATGTGGCTCTGCACTCTTGTATGCTTTCTTTCTCGCTGTCAGTCTTCCTGTGACACTGCATGCCATGTTGTCAAGTTGACACATGATACCTGGGCATGAAATATTTTTGGGAATTTAAAATTCCAATGGTTCAGGCTCCCGAGTGGCGCAACCGTCTAAGCGTTGGCCCTATCATCAGGAGATCGCGAGTTCGATCCCTGGTGATGCTACAGCCATCCGTAGCCGGGAGTCCGAGAGAGCACAATTGGCCTCGCTCTCTCTAGGTGGGTAGGATGGCCCCTCCTTCTCCCCCCCTCACTTAACGCGATGCTAGTCGGCGCAGGCGTCTATTAGCTGACGTAACAGATCTGGCGGTTGGCGCTTTCCTCCGAGCGCGTTCAACTGTCTAATGACGTTGCGTGGGCGGCAGCTCGAAAAGATGCGGTGGCTGGCTTCACAGGTCTCGGAGGAAGCCTGTGTTAGCCTTCGCCCTCCTAACGTTGATGGTATCGTGTGACTGGGGGAGTCCTAACTAGCTGGTGGAATTGGAGACGACTAAATTTGAGGAGAAAATCTAAAAAAAAAAAAATTCCAATGGTTGAAAGAATCTAGGTACAGACTCAGCCTCAGATGCACCGTACGTGGAGGTATGGACCACTCGCTGTCTACTGCATTTTAAGCTGGCAACAATTACTGCGATTTTAGCACTTGCATTCTGATTGACTGTCTACGTGTCCGTCTGATGAAAAACACAGTGCTCCAAATAGCTAATTATTCACCGTGCCATGACACAATACTGGAAAAAGATATAATTGCTGGATTTTTTAAAAATGTTTAATTTCATATCATCACATCTTAATCAACAGTTTTCTTTGAAGCATTTGCTAGCTAGTAAGCAAGATGTTCTTCTATACTTTGTTTACCTTGGTTGTGGCTTTATTGTAGATCTGTTTTGAAAAACACTTCTACGCAGAAAAAACAATTGTCTATTACTATTTTACCATTCATATGGCCTTTTCTTATCAAAGTAGGTCGTTCTTCATTATTTTAACCATTTTTTTGCAGCACAACAGTATAAAAAGCAATTTCCGCCTCTTTTGATGATCTGTCTGACTATGCTTCTTTTTCTTCAATAACGTTGATGGTTTATGTTTGTGTGATGGCAATGAATATGATTCAAAAAACAAAAGAAACTTAATTTTTTTGTCTTTGTAGATGAGCATTTATAAAAGTGTTTTTATAGTGTTTAAATGCTATTTATTGCTTATTATTGTGTTAGTTGTGCATGATTTTTTGATATAGGGAAAGCTGCAGTTGTGCTGTTCATTTTATCTCAACACAACTTCCCACCTTGGAGAGAAGTGAACTGTTTTCACAGCAGGGGGTTCAGCTCTCTTCCCTATGACTTCTTCTTGCTCCCAAGCAGCTCAACACATTTCACACACCGAGAACCAACAATGTCCTAGTTAATCTGATAACAGAGTTATGGGTAAAATGTTTTATTATATTAATGAAATATTACCAAGTTGGTTTCCATTCCACTGGTGGAATGGCCACTAGGTAGTCTGCAGAAGGAGGTTAACTGACAAAATACACCAGATTCTCTGATGACAGGCTTGCGAGAATAGATGCAGACTGACCTCTGCCCTGACGTTGTTGTTCTTTGCTTGTTTGTTGCTCATTAGTAGCTGGCCATAACTGACACTGATGTAACTACTGTTTTCTCAGCCTACACTAAGTAAAGGGAAAATACTGCTGGTTAACATCTCTTTAACCTAATAATTCACACTTGACATTTACTCCAAGATCTAAAAATAAGCAAAGCCTACATCATTACTAACACCATTTCAAATGACTCAAGAAGACAAACCTGCATTGGTGATGTGTTGCACAGCTGAGTGGTATTACAAATGCATGTGTGCAGAAAGTTCGGTGACGAGTGTTGCTGCAACATTGACTCTTGCATGCTGGAATGTTATGTAAGCCTATTAGCCTCAGCTGGTGCATAGAGGCCCGTTGGCGAGATCTGTGAAAAAGAGAAGGGCAGTCAAGTGGCTGCCATGTTTCTAAATGTATCAATCCACCAGCCAACACTGTGCTCCAAGCACACACACACAGTGCTAATGCTCTTGACATTACGGTGAGAGATGTGAGAGTTTTGTTAATAGTTATTAAAGCAAGTTTTGGAAGGCGCTTTTTAAAAGCATCCACTCATTAGGCTTTTCACTTGCCACACAGTTAGCTACAGCAGGGCAAATAAAAGTTAATAAGCATTGCAAAATGCGGCCATTGCTGAGTGATCTACACAGCAATTTTGCAATTCAAAGCAAAAAAGACCTTGGAAGTAAATGACCAGCAAAAGATCTGTTTTGCTTTAAAATAATAACAACAGATGTCACATGCATCAGGTCTGTGCACCATGTACACTGTTTTTATACAAAAAAATACATAAATAAATGTGCCTTAAAAATTCATGAAAACTAGTTATTGGAAGACAATGGTGGTAATGTGATGGTATAACAAGCCTGTTGATTTCACTGGATTGTCTATTGTGTTGACAGAAGGTAAGGTAATGTGCTGTGTTAAGTGTGCGTGGGTGTGCTGTTTTTGTAAAGCATGTTCCAAATGTGGTGCTCTTAATGCTAGAGTGAGCACTCAGCTGTTAAAC